GTTAGAAAGAGGCTTGATGTCAGGAAAAAAACATCCTAACAAAGTAAATGGACTGCCCGGGGAAGTGTGCTTCCCCTTCACCTGAAATCCTTCAGTAAAGGCTGAAAGACTCTGTAGTCAGATATATTGGAAAAGGCATTCACTTTCATGTATGAGCTGGACTTCATGGCGTTTACATTTCCTTCCAACTTTTATGCACACTTTGGTGTTCATTAGTTCATTCATTTATTTATTTGTCAGGTGTTTATTAGGCACCGCATTAGAAATTGGGGAGATAAAGATAAAAAAGAAATGGTCACTGGCCTCAAAGAACTTATTGGGCAGAAACAACATGAGCGCAGATAAGTAAATACAAAGTCATTTTCTGTTGTGTGGGCAAGGCACTGTCATGGGGCGGAGGAAGATTGAGGAGGTCAAAATACATTGAAGAGATTCACTTGAGCATCCTTGAAGGAAGCTAAGGAGTCTATGAGGGGGAGATGAAAAGGGAATGTGGTCTAGGAATGGGGGACAGCCTGTACAAAGGCAAGAAAGTAGGAAATGGAATGTTGTGTTCAGTGTTCACTGGAGTGTGGAGTGTGTAACAGAAAGCAATATGGCAATAAAGCCTAAAAAGACAGACTGGAACCAGAATGTAAAGCTTTTAAAATGACATACAGAGGAGCTTGTAATTTTTCCTAGGGGCAATTGGGAGCCACTGAATGTTCTTGAACAGTGAAGATATAGGGGCAGGCCTGTACATTAGCAATAATAATTTGGCAGCTGTGGGGAAAAGGGATTGGAGATGGAAGAAATTTGAGGCAGGGAAAACAACTAAGAGGCTATTGCAGTAGTCTTGATGAGGAGTTATGAGGGCCTGAATTGAGGTAGAATCTGTAAAACTTGGCAACTCAGTGGAGAGAGAGACTGAGGAACAGGGAAGGGTCAAAGATGAATCTGAGCTTGAGAACCCAAGTGACTGGAAGGATAGTGATGGCTTTACCAGAGAAATAGGGAAGAGTTTGGGAGACAGAGTAATAAATTCTCTTTCAGATGTGTTAGGTTCAAGATGCCTCAGGAACATCTAAATGTGGGTGCCAACTAAGCAGTTGGTGAATATAGGATTCTGAAATTCAGCAAAATATTTAGAACTGAATTTGCCTTTGAATTTGAATCCATCATTCTCAGCTATACAGCAAGTACTGCATAAACATCACTGAACATGTGCACTCCTTTGAAAAGACAAGAGAACAATTAATTAGTTTCTAATTAAATTTGTCATTTAGCTGGCTTAAAAGTGAGAATAGCTTTAACAGAATCAAGTGCTTGGAACAGTGCACTGTTTAGAATCTGAATCACAAATTCCTTTAGGGAATCAAAATGAGCTCACTTCATAAACTGTAATTGTAGCTCTTTTTTTTAATTTTTAAGAAAATTTGTTATTTCCTTATTTTTAAACATTCTTTTCTTTTTAAATTTTGAGTTCTGAATTCTCTCCTTCCCTCCCATATTCTCCCACACCTACTAGGAAGGTAAGCAATATATCAATTATACATGTGAAATCACGCGAAACCTATTTCCATATTAGCCATATTGCAAAAAAAAAAAAAAGTAAGCAAGAATAATAAAGTGAGAAAATTGTACAGTACTTAAATTTGCACTCAGAGTTCCTCACTTCTTTCCTGGAAGTGGGTAACTTTTTTTTCATCATGAGTCCTTTGGAATTGTCTTGGATCATTGTATTGATCAGAGTAGCCAAGTCTTTCACAGATGATCAACATAACATATTGCAGTAACTGTGCACGGTAATCTCCTGGCTCTTCACACTTTGCCTCTCAGTTCATATAGGTTTTGCCATGTTCTTCTGAAACCATTTCCTCATCATTTCTTATAGCACAATAGTACTCCTTCACAATCACACGCCATGACTTGTTCACCCATTCCCCAGTTGATGAGCATCCAAGCATGCCTGCAGTTTCCAATTCTTTGCCCTCAAAAAGAGCTGCTATAAACATTTTTGTAATATAGGTCCTTTTCTTTTTTCTTTGATCTCTTTGGGGGTACAGATCTTGTGTGGCATTGCTTGATCAAAAGGTATTTACAGTTTTATAACCATTTGGGCATAGTTCCACATTGTTCTCCAGAATGGTTGGACTAGTTTACAACTGTACCAAACAGTGCATCAACGTACTTATTTTCCTCCACCCCCTCCAGCATTTGTCATTTCTGATAGATGTGAGAAGGTACCTCAGGGTTGTTTTAATTTTTATTTCTCTAATCAGTAGTGAATCAGAGCATTTTTTCCTAGGACTATAGATAAATTTGATTTCTTCTTCTGAAAACTGCCTGTTCATATACTTTCACCATTTATCAATTGGAGAATGGCTCTTTTTTTTTCCCCATAAATTTGATTCAGTTCTCTATATATTTGAGAAATGAAACCTTTAATAGAGAAACTTGCTATAAAAATTTTTGATAGCACTTCATTATCTATTCTATATTATCCTTTAGCAAAATGTAGTTTCTCTTATTCTCTCTTTTAATTAGGTCTATTTTTGCTTTTGCTTTGTCTAAAAACATGATTGCTATCCTTGCCTTTTTTACTTCATCTGAAGCATATTAGATTTTGCTCCAGTTTTATTTTAAATCTGTGTGTGTCTTTCTGTTTCAAGTTGTAAACAACATATTTTTAGATTCTGGTTTCTGACTCATTCTGCTATCTGCTTCCATTTTATGGGTGGGCTCATCACATTTACATTTATGATTACTAACTGTGTATTTCCTCCCATTCCATTTTCTTTTGTTTATTCCTCTCTATCTTTTTATCCTGTCCCTTCTCAAAAGTCTGTTTTGCTTTTGACCACTGTATCCCTTGATCTACCCTCCTTTTTATCATCTCTTCCCCCACCCCTATCTCTTATCCCCTTCTCTTCCCATTTCTTTATTGGATAAGATAGATTTCTATACCTAACTGAATGTTTATATATATTCTTACCTCTTTGAAACAGGATGAGAGCGACATTCAAGTATCACGCCCTCCCCCATCTTCCCCTCTATTGTAAAAGTTCTTCCTTGTTCCTCTTTTATGTGAGAAAATTTTCTTCATTCTGCCTTTCCCTTCTACCTTCTTTCAGTGCACCCTTCTTTCTCACCCCTTCATTTTTTTGAGATCATCCCAACATAATTGATTCATATTTTTGCCTTTTGTATAGGTAAGATAGAATCCTTAGGAGTTACATATATTATTTTCCCATATAGAATTGTAAACAGTTTAACTTTATTGAGTCTCTTATGATTACTCTTTCAAATTTCCTTTTTTATATTTTTCTTGAGTCTTTGTTTGAATGTCAAATTTTCTATTCAGCTTTGGTCTTTTCATCAAGAATGCCTGAAAGTCTTCTATTTCATTAAATTTCCATTTTTGCCCCCGAAAGGATTATACTCAGTTTTGATAAGTAGGTCATTATTGGTTGTGATCCTATCTCCTTTACTTTCTGGAATATCATATTCCAAGTCTTTTGTTCCTTTAACATAGAATCCACTAAATCTTGTATGATCCTTACTCTGACTCTACAATATTTGAACTGTTTTTCTGGTGGCTTGCAGTGTTTTCTCCTTCACATGGGAGCTCTAGAATTTGGCTATAATATTCCTGGAAGTTTTCATTTTGAGATCTCTTTCAGATGTGATTGGAAGATTCTTTCAATTTCTATTTTATTCTCTGAATCTAAGATATTAGGGCAATTTTCCAATATCATTTTTTTGAAATGTGATGTCTAGGCTTTTTTTTAAATCATGGATTTCAGGTAGTCCATTAATTCTTAGATTGTTTCTCCTTGATCTATTTCCCAGGTCAGTTCTTCTAATGAATTTATTTTTCATTTTGACTTTGTTTTTTTTTCTTGATGTGTCATGGAGTCATTATCTTCCACTTGCCCAATCCTAATTTTTAAGGAATTATTTTCTTGAGTGGGCTTTTATACCTCTTTTTTCATTTGTTTAAGTCAGCTTTTTAAGGAGTTTTCTTCAGTGAATTTTTGTATTTCCTTTGCCATTTGGTCTATTCTGCTTTTAAAGGAGTTCTTTTCTTTAGTATTTTTTCTGCCCCTTTTAACAAGTTGTTAATTTCTTTTAATAAATTTCTTGCATCATTCTTGTTTCTTTTCCAAATTTTTTGTCTACCACTCATTTCTTTCTTTAACTCTTTTAAGAATTCTTGTTGGGATTGTGCCCAATTAGCATTTTTCTTTGAGGCTTTGCTTGTAGCTGGTTTCACATTATTGTCTTCTTCTGAGATTGTGTCTTGGTCTTCCCTGCCACCATGTAACTTTTTATAGTCAAGTTATTTTTGTTGTTGTTTGCTCATTTTCCCAGCCTATTTCTTGACTTTCAATTTTATGTTAAAGTTGGGCTCTGCTCCCCTGGGAGTGTGCTGCTGTTTTCAGAGCTAGTTCTGGGGGTCTACAAATTTTTCAGGGATTCCTAGGTGGTATCATCCTGGGAGAGGTGTGGTCACTGCTTTCTTGGTCTGTGCTCTAGTCTTTACCCCAGAAAGGTCCTGCTTCCCTACAAGCACAAATGCTATCATTCCTCTTGACCCTACAATGGTGACCATGTCCCCTATTCCCCTGGAGCCACAAGCATCAGTGCTTCTCTTTGCTTCCTTGTGACTCACCACAAGTGCTCTTCTCCAACCTGCAACTGTGACCCAGACCTGCCATGGGCACTAGAGTTGCAAGCAATGCCAGCTGTACCCAGTGCCAGCAAAGGGTTCCCTGTAATCTCTTTCTGACCAGTTGTCTGACCCTCTTACTGTCTCTGGGTTAAGCACTCCCAAAGCTGTGACTGTTGTTGCAGGACCTCCAAGACCCACTGCTGGGGCTGGTACCATGTGCACTGCGCTCCAGATTCGCCTCTACCCTGGTGTCAGAGACCTCTCCTGCCAACCTCCTGTTTTTTTAGGCTGGTAAAATGCCTCACTTTCACTTTTTGTTGACACTTCCATTCCAACATTTGATTTATTTAAAGAGAAATGTTGAGAAAGTCCAGCTGGATTGCTGCCTCTGATCTGCTATCTTCATGGCCAATCTTTAGTGGCCACCTTTTCCCCTAGAAAGATCATATGATAGAAATTGTTTTTAATGATATCTTTTGTCATAATGAGATCATCAAAGCCATTTTGAAACAACCACTCGAGCAATAGTGTACTCGAAGCTCAAGGTGAACCTTGTGAAATGTGACTCTATGATGACTAAAACCCAAGCCCCATCCATTATGCAGAATGACATTCTGGAGCAGAGGTTCTCAATCCTGTATATGTCATGGACCCCTTTGGCAGTCTGGTGACACCTGTGGATCTCTTCTCAGAATCATGTTTTTAAATACATGAAATAAGACATATAAGATTACAAAGAAAACTACTTATATTAAGACATAATTATTAAAGGTTTTTTTTTAAAGTCACAGATCCCAGTTTAAGAACTCTTTTTTTATATTGTCTACAGTTGTTTTATTTATTTTTCCTTAGCAGTATTTTATTTTTTTCCAATAATAAAACAGTTTTCAGCATTTATTTTTGTAACATTTTGAGTTCCAAATTTTTCTCCCTCTTTTCCTCCCCCCTCCCCAAGATAGCAAGCAAAGTGATATTGAGAATCCCTCTTTAGAACAATGAATTACCTAGTAGTAGTGTCTGTAATCCTCCATGCTAATGGATCTTTGATTTCATTGATTCATATATTTTCTCTAATACAGCAGATTGAAACCAATCTTCACAGCTATCTTCATACTTGTAACGCCATCATCTCTACAGTTTCCTCTTCTGATTAGTGAGTTTATCTCAGACCCTCCATTTGAAGAAGTAGCTATGCCAGCTGTGCTTACCCTGTACCCAGTTCAGCTCATGCCTACCCTGGATCTTGCTGGGACAAGGTACTTCCCACCCTGACTTTTCAGCTCTCTTTTATCTCTCACTCCCCTTCATTAGAATGTGAGCACCTTAAAAGTAGGGACCATCTTGCTTTTTTACTTGTATTTCTAAGCCTGGCACATAGCAAGCACTTAGTGAATGTTCTATCTATCTATCTATCTATCTATCTATCTATCTATCTATCTATGCCTGACAATTCTGTGGGTCATTTGTCCATATCGTCTCATAAATTCACCAAAGGAGATATAACCAGATGCTTACATTCCTCATACTTTCTTTAACATTGTATGATTGCTATGTAAATGGACCACCAGAGCCCTTATTCTCACTATGTGCCAAGCTCAGGCATTTTTTTTCCCTACATGTACCTCTTACTGATAACATCTTTTACATAAATTCTGAATAATTGTTTGTTGGTAATGTGTCATAGTTTGTTCACCCACATAACATAGCTATCCATTGCCCTTTGAATGATCCTCAACTTTGATTCTTCAGAGTTTAAAAGATGAACCTGTGTTTTAGAGAATAGCTTAGAGTAATTAAAAGAATTACACAGTTTCCCTAAGGCAATCAAAGCCACTTTTCTCCTGTTCAAGTCTGGGTTCACCTCATGGTCCATTCCTAATGAGTGTCTCAAGTATCGTACTATAAAGGTTATTTTTCCAACTGCTTATCATCATCTGGATAATGCTGTTATGAAGTCCTTTTCCACTTGTGTCTGATTCTCTGTGACCCCATTTGCGGTTTTCTTTGGCAAAGATGGTAGGGCAGTTTACCGTGTCCTTCTCCACCTCATTTTACAGATGAGGAAACTGAGGCAAACAGGGTTAAGTGCCTTGCCAGGGTCATAGAACTAGTAAGTGTCTGAGGCAGGGTTTAAACTGAGGAAGATGAATCTTCTTGACTCCAGGCCCAGCCCTCTGTCCACTTCCTGAGTTCAAATCTGGCCTCAGACACTTGCTAACTGTGTGACACTGGGCAAGGCACTTAACCCTGTTTGCCTCAGTTTCCTCATCTGTAAAATGAGCTGGAGAAGGAAGTGGCAAACCTCTCCATGTCTTTGCCAAGAAAACCCCAAATGACATGGCTGAAGAAAATTATCAAACAACAAAGTTTAAGCTGTATATAACTTACTTTCCATATATATATTTGTTTGATTGCATGTTATCTCCTCAATTATGCCATAAGCTCCTCGATGGTAGGAATTGTCTTTTGCATCTCTTTGTACACCAGCGTTTACCACAGTGCCTGGCACATAGTAGGTGCTTAGTAAATGTTTAGTGATTGATTGATTGGATGGCTAGGTCTCAAGAATTAAATTCTGAAGCTATGAAGAGAAAGTTTACAATGAATAGGAAAAAGGGAGTTATCCAATGATAGCAATGCGGCTGCACAGAAAGCTTATTAATCTTGAGAGTTTTTTTAAAAGATGCTAGCTAATTGGTAGTTCTGATTAACCAAAGTACACTAAATGTTTTGGTTATATATATATACATATATGTGTGTGTGTGTGTGTGTGTGTGTATATATACTTATATATATATATACTTTTTTATATTTATATATTATATATATATATATATATATATTTTCTTTAGATTGGTAATTATTCAAACAATTTTCATATACATGTTTTCTATATATTTATATATTTTTTCTTTAGATTGGCTATTATTCAAATAATTTTCAAATCCCCTACTTAATTTATTTCAGCATAGATATAGCTATAGATTGTGGAATTAGGACAAAACAAATGTGAAAATTGGGCCAGCACACATATTACTATCTGTAAAGGAGGCCTGGATTTTTTCATCTATGTTTAAAGGGACTAGATATCACAGCATAGAGAAAGCTCCTGGTAGTATCCAGTTTTTATTTCAAACTTTCCTTTTAAAAATGTGCTTTTCAAAGAAACTCAGTGGGGTGTTCTCTCTCTCTTTTTAATTGTTGTTTCTGGCATTTAAAGTAAGATAAAGTTTTGCTGATTTCTTTCCCTTGCTATCCTGCCTTTCTCTGTCCAAAGGGCTTAATAATCACCATAGTAAGATTTATGGCGAGTGAAAAAGAAAAAATAAATAAATTATCTGACTGAGGAGCCAGTCTACCCCTCTCTGGTTGTACAGGATGTGTTTAAACGCTGCTAGCAGCAGTCTAATTAAAATAATTTCTGTCAGAAGCCCATGAAATATGCAGCTCCAGTCCAACTCAGTGTTTTTGAGCTAGAATGACAAATCTTTCCTTAATTGGTACTTAATATGGTAGTGTGGGATTAGTAATTCTCCAGGATAAAAGGAGACAACAAATAGAAAACTTTTTTAGGGCAGGAAGCACTGAAAGATGAACAGAGCAAAATGGCACCCCCTCCTTCAACTTTTTGTACCAATAATTGTTATTTTGGCCATAATTTACAAAATAAGAGACAATTAATGCACATTTTATGGCAAGTGTTAAGTCCCAATTAAACACAACTATGTGTAAAGAATGTTGAAGGGCTTAATATACAGGAGGAAATCAATAAAGGTAGACTTATGGCAAGTTTTCCAACCTTGTAATCCTATCTTGATGTACAAGGGCCTTGGGAAAAGGAAGCAGTAGCACTCCCATTTTTGTAAGACTTCTACTCAGATGAGAAGTGGAGATATTTATATGAGATTGGAGATCCCTTCAAAACTTGCATTCTATCCATGATTCCACTGCAACATTTATTTCCAAGGAGTTACTTCTTTTATTTCAACATTCTACCTTACAGAGCTACTTAAAACCGGATTGCAAATGAATTGCTTTCTATTGACCATAACAAAGCTAGTGATAAAGTAGCATCTTTGTCCTAGTTTCCTGGTCTTTTACAGAATGTTTGAAATTCAAAGTCAATCTACACTGATTATAAATCTATAAATTATGAAACGGATGACTATGGCTTTAGTTCCTGATGTCAATTCAGATTAGTTAATTAGTCCAAAAAGTGTGTGTGTGTGTGTGTGTGTGTGTGTGTGTGTGTGTGTGTGTATGTTAGGAAAGCCAAATAAAACTAGATGACTAAATGCATTTTTCATTTTTATATAGATCAAATGAGATAATAATTGGAAAGCTCTTAGCAAGTGCCAAGCACGTAGTAAGCGCTATATAAATGTTAGCTATTATTATGATTATACACAAAATGCATCTTGATGAGAATTTGAATAAAAGAATGAATGAAAAAGCATTTTTTAAAGTGCTTGCTATGTGCAAAGCACTGGGGATGCAAATAAAAATGTAACACTATCCTGCTCTCAAAGAGCTCTCATTCTAAGAGGAAAGACAACGTGTATAGCTACAAGTCAGTTAGACAGGTCTCATAATCCTTAGGATGCAGTAGAAAAGCAGATGGTGATACATCTTCTTAATGTCATTTCCACTGATAAAACCACATCAGTTTGTGATGTTGAACTGTTTGACATCTTTGGTGGCAAGAACTTTCTTATGTGGGTCTTCATTAACTGTGGCTACAGCACTTACAGAAGTGGTTGTGAGGTTTCATCTCCATAGGAGATTGAGTCCTGAGACTATGGCTACCAGGGGTTGGAGAGGAAGCTGGACTGGTGGACTAAGTGCAGGGATGGGGAACCTTTAGCCTTGAGGCCACATATGGCCTACTAGGTCTTTGGGTGTGGCCTTTTGACTGAGTCCAAGTTTTACAGAACAAATCCTTTTATTAAGATAATTTGTTCTGCAAAACTTGGACTCAGTCAAAAGGCTACACTTGAGGACCTAGAGGGCCACATGTGGCCTCAAAGCCATCTGTTCCCTACCCCTGGCTTAAGGGATAGATTGATGTTATCCTGAATAGGTACTACTTCTTCCTGTTGAGAGGTTTCTTAAGGTATAGCTAGTGTAAGGAGGAGTCCTGGTAGATAATGGTTCAATAGAAAATGGTATCTGGCAGTGAAAATCTAGGGTATGAGGACAGAGTAAATGGCAGAAGTGAAAGTGGAAACATTTTTATCTCTCCTCTTCCCTTCACCAGTTGGCTAGATTCCAATCTTTCAACCACCCTGATTTTTTCATAGACAAACTGAAATGTAAACATGGATAGGTAGATAAAATCCTTTTGACTTGGGGCCATTCAAAACCTTTAGAATTGTTGACTCTGACTGCAGGTAAAGCCAGATAAACAAAGTCCTACCTTAGGAACTAGTTCTGT